TGTTTTCATTAGTGTATAATCACCTGAATTTAAGAATGGTTGTTGCCATTGTTGTCTACAGAGGGAGTGGGTCCTCTTCTGTGTCCACCATGTTAAACCACTATGTTTCTATGGTAGCCCAGAAGGGAAATAAACAAACATTGGATTTAGATAGGGCCCTTTTTTGCCCAGCGTAGTTTCTACTTGGGTGAAGCAAGGGAATTGCAATCTTCAACTTCACCACTAGATGCCACTAAATCCTACACACTGTGTGATGTCATCAGGAAGGAGGTACTAGGGGCCAACTTCCAGGCATCTGTTTATGTCATACCTGAATTTTCCCTGGCACTCTGTTTCTTTTTGTTCTTTAAACTTGTCTATATGTTAATATTGTTTATGCTCATTTGTGGCTACAGTGTGCCAGAGTGCCAGCAACAGCAACAGGATGCTGACTGCAGTTCACTTAACAGCCAAGGAAAAACAACAAAACAACAAAAAACTTTCAGGCATCTGAAGTGATGTGTCTGATACTGGCTGTCTTGTGTAGAAAAGTTTAAAAACATGAATAAGGCAGTCTCTAGTTTTTAATATGATTTATAGTGCAATTCTTTTTTCTTTTTTTGTTCTGATAAACTGCGAATTCATCGAATTCAGTGCCCCATGTTGCTATTTTTCAAATATACAAATATATAAAAACTGATGAATATTCATTTATGCCAGAGATCCACAAAAAGTCACACCAGAGGGGTGAATAATCCTGTAATCTTTCCTGAGAATTAGAATTTTTAAGAAATTTAAGTATTTCACATATTTTATATTTTATTATTTTCCTTTTTAAAATCACCACAAAGTCTCTGAAACTAATTCTTTTCTTGTTGAGGACCCCCCTTTTCAAGGTCTCAAGGTTGGCAGGTCACAAGTTTTTTTTTCACGTTACCTGCAGGACTCACACCACCTGTATGACACTGTTAAAAGGAAACCCCTGTATCGTCTCTATTGTGAACTGTATCCACCACTGTCAGTATCATTAAACCTATTGATGTGACTAATTAATTTCAGCACAAAAGCTTCCCATTCAATGTGAAAAGACCTTTCTGTCCAGTGTGTGTGTGTGTGTGTGTGTGTGTGTGTGTGTGTGTGTGTGTGTGTGTGTGTGTGTGTGTGTGTGTGTGTGTGTGTGTGTGTGTGTTTATTGTCCTCCCATCTGTCAATCATTCAGTGTCCTACATTTCTCTCAGCTTCCATCAGTTTGACTGGTGATTAAAAGGATGCAGGGTTTCTGTCATTAACTTAAAACTCTTCATCGCTGTTGTAGATTTGTTCTCTTTTACTCTAGTATTTTTCAGCCTTTCTTTGTTGCTTTTCCAAAAAATTGAGTTTTAGTCCCACAAATGTTTTTCTAGATTCTCTTTGTTAGAAATACAAAAAGCTGGAAAATCACAAAAATGTGGCCTAAGGATAAATAGGAAAAGCTTGTGTCTATTTGTGCAGAGATCTGAAGAGCTTTAAATTACAGGGCAGTGAGTTGCCTTTGACACCTTGTAACTCCTCATTAACAAATTAAACAGAGTTCCACCTGTTGGGACCCTGTGTCCATTACAATGGATGTCACTTGACAGGGGCTTCTTTTTTACTTTTTGCAACATTTAACAGACAAAAAATAGGTATGATGTTGTCATATGATGTTGGTATTTTAAGAATTGTTTGGACCTGATGTCCATTGAAATGGACAAGAAAAATAACAATTAAAGGGTTTTGATTAAAAAAATTTTTTTTATTGATTCTCATTTCTGGTTGCATTAAGGATGGGAAAAAGTCATTATTATATTTTTCACAACCTTGGAACATAAGGCGGGTCTGAAGGGGTTAATGACAGAGAAGAAATATAACAACATGGTTTGAAGGCTGTGTAGAGGTCCAGTGTGTAACATACAGGAGGATCTATTGTCAGAAATGCAATATAATATTCATAGCTATGTTTTCATTAGTGTATAATCACCTGAAAATAAGAACTCTTGTGTTTTCGTTACCGTAGAATGAGCTGTTTTATCTATTGAAGGAGTGTTTCTCAAACTTTTTACACCATGTACCACCTCAGTAAATATTAGGCTCTCCAAGTAACACGATATTCAGCTACAGACAGTTCACACAGGAGGCAGGTTTTTTCCTAATAAGATTATTTATTGTTAACTGTTGTTTAAATCCTGAATGGAACCGGTTCAAGAACTAGAGCTATTCGGTGGAAAAGTGGTCCTCCTGGTCCTCCTGGGGTCAGTCTAGAGTCCAGCTGAATCCACTGTTCAGTGTAGTACCGAGCCGTAGTGGACTACTGCTGTAACTATCAAAAAGTTTAATTAACTTTGATTACTGTAACTAATTTGCTAGTTTTACAGCCAAATATAGAAAAGTGAAGGAAGTAACCAGTACATTTACTCAAGTAATGTATTTTGAGGGACTTTACTTGAGTATTTCCATTTTATGCAACTTTATATTTCTACTCCACTACTTTTATTTGATAGCTTTAGTTACTTTACAGATTCAGATCAATAAGAAATATAATCAGCTAATAAATTATGATGTAATATTATATAAAATATATACAAATTAGCAACATTAGTGGTGTTTATACATTGATAATTATAATCCAATTACAGTATATTCTGTATAATCAGTTGTTTTACTTTTGGTACATTTTGATCCTAATACTTTTGTACTTCTACTTAAACATACAATATGTAATTTCTGCCACTAGGGGGCCTCTCACATCAAAACAATAACAAAAGACGAAGTTTGGTGACATTGTGAAGAAGCTTGGGATCGTGGGAGTTGTTGTCTTGTCCACCATTGCCATCACTGCAGTCAGTCAGATCTTCCTAAATATTACACACTGGACCTCAAAGTGTCATTCTAAACTGTTACTGCTGTGTACAACAGGACACTGATCTCTGTTCTGTGTGATATGAAGCCTGCTGTTCTTTCTATGAAAACAAATATCCTGTGTGTGTAGACTACATGTTGTCTTCTGGCTTCGTATTTTTGTGTCTGAGGTGTGAAACTAGTTAGCAGGAGATGAATCGAGGCTCCTGCAGAGAAACATCTGCTGCTCGCTGCAAATTAATGCTCAACATGTGTCGTCCTCAAACCTCAAACATTCACTATCCTTCTTACATCATGGAGGAATCATTCATGGGTTTTATTTAGTAACAGCGATTCAGCCAGATGTATCAACTGCTGCTGAATCTGTTCCAGTGATCAGGGTTTCCATCACCAGCCTGTAGGTCAGTATTTCTAGGTATTATCAACAATGTAGTGCAAGTATCAAAAGTATAAGTACTCGATACAGAAACAAATACCATATGAGTAAAACACTACCTATTGGATTATTTAGTAACTATAATTAGCCAAGATTACATTTGAAAAAATGTGTAATTAGATTAATTACATTGTCAAGGATTACTTGATTACATTTTTGACTTCATCTTTAAAATATGGGCATTTTATTACTATTATTTATGAATCTTTTTTTCATAATAACCAACCTCTATTAAAGACCAGTATGTAGGATTTAGACACATCTCTAGAGTAGAGCTTGCCCATAGAAGAAACCACGATGGCTGTTAAACCACAACAAACCCAATCTAGAGCCAGTGTTGGGTGTGTTGAAACATGGCGGTTCGACATGGCGGACTCCACCAGAAGAACTGCTCCCTCTGTAGATAAAAACAGCTCATTCTCAGGTTACAAAAACACAATGATTCTTATTTCCAGATGATTATACACTGATGAAAACATAGCTATGAACATTATATTCCATTTTTGCCAATATTACACACTGAACCTTTTTAAATACTGAAAAATACTGAAATGCATGTCTGGTCTGACATACAGGGTTCTCTTGGTTCCACTTTGTGGTGAAAATGGCGGGAGAAAACAACGCTGTTGATTGAAGCTGGAAGGTTCAAGCAGCAGCAGTTCCTTCCAAGAGATGTTTACAGTCCACATGAAATGGAATTGCTTCCTCATTTACGTGTTTCCCGTAAAAACCAGTAGCGATATGGAGGGACTATTTTGCGCTAGCCAATAGCACTGAATGTGTATTACGTCCCTATAAGCTGACTGTCCCGCTCCGGGTGAACAGCGCGGCCAGACCGGGACCAATTACAGCATGTGATGCTGACAGAGGCCAGTTTGACGACGGGGAATACGGTGCTGAGATGGCTGCTTTTGCCGGCTCTTGCTCCTGGCTCCCTGAGGCTGAGCTGCAGAAGCTAACTAGAAAATGGCTGCTATATTTCGATTAAGAGTTAGCTACTGTTAGCAGGTGCCCAGTTCTGCTGTATGCTAATGATAGAAACAGTGGCAGTTAGCTCAGTTGAGGCAGAGCAGTCGGAGGTTGTCAGAGGGAACACCAGACAATATTTTCTTTATTAAATATGATCCAGTTCCACCAAAATCACAGATAAAGTTCTGTTTTTGTATAGTAGTCAGTGAAATCCCTAAAAACACTTTTGTTAGCTAGCTAGCTAACTAATGACTTTGAGTTAGTTGTGTGTCACTCAAAGTTGATTGATTGATCGATCGGTGAATGTCATATTATTGGTTGAAATTGATTTGGTTATGTAAGCAAACATCACAATTCATTTGACAGGAAGAAAAAATGATAGGATTTTGATTTGATATTTTTGTAATTGTTTTGTGCGTACATCGGTAACTAGTGGTACAATATAACTAAGAATGTACTTTAAAGGGAAAAAATAATATTTGTTGAATTCCAATTTCTGTGTCCATTATTTTTAGTATGTAGTATTCAGATTAGATTTTCTATTTTAGGGGTAATGCAATGGATTATGTTACTGATTACAAAAATTGCCATCTGATTTGTATTCAGTAACCAACAAATTTCAAAGTAATCTGACCCAACACTGCTAACATTTTATTTTACAGGTCCTATAGTCTCACTCCCAAGTCGTCAAATACATGCCAGCCGTTGATGGAGGTGGTGGAGTGGGTGGATGGCTCAACAAACACAGGAGAGTGCTGTTTATGTCCCATCTGAAACCAAAGGTAAACAATTTATTTTTCTTAAGTCACATTGGCGTATCGCAGTAGTTGACAACCTGGGGGTAGGGACCCTTACTAGAGGTCGCCAAAGCTTCATAGGGGGTCAATGTGATGTGTAATAAATGATTTTAAGGCATGCAAACTTACATACACAGTAGGCCTATATCTCAACATTTTGTTCACTTCTGTGAAGAAGTAAATGTAAAGTAAATTATTAAGTAAATTGTCTAATAGAACAATGTGTCATGCATCAGGGCCTATTAAGAATGTGTGTGCAGCTTGTTAAATTTAACAAGTAAATAATCTGCTCAAAAGTCATCCAAATCTCTTGTTTTACACTAACTTCTTGTAGTTACTGAGTTCATTGTTTGGGTTCATTGCACAGTTTTTGATATAATATGAAATATGCATAAAATATGTCACTTCATCTTCAGTTTACTAACTGATAGGAAATTTGTTGTTGGAAAAGTTTGGGAACTACTGGTGTAACGCAGTAATAATGAGAACGATACAGAAAAATAGAAATACATGGCAATAAAATAATAATAATAATATATAATGTTAATATTTTAGAGACCCCCCCCCAATTTTTTTCCCCACAAATTATGTTCTCAGGGGGGCCCATGTTTTATTAAAAGGAGCCAAGCTCCCCCTGCCTACAGTGTCATATTTTAGACTTGTTGTCATTGCCCTGTGAGTGGAATAATGTTGCCCGTATTAATTAATCAAGCAATAAATTAATAAATATATAAATCATTTCCTATAAAGTAACAGATATGTAACTTATTTGTCTGAAGGTTCCTGCAAAGAAATATTTAAATAATTTGATACTAGTTAAAGAAAATGGACAGATTTTAGCCTTAATGGAAATTTCTCTGCAAATCAAAAATTCTTTATAAACACAAATAAGTGTCACAGACATTGTCTTTACTTTCCTGTAATTTCTACTAAATTACATAAATCTTTCCAGGGAGTAACAGGACCTGTTAAATAAAGCGTCACTACTCATTGTCACTACTTAGTATAAAACAATACATTGTATTCTCGCCATATGTTTAGTGTGACAAATCCTGGTAGAGTAATGTCTGTAGTTACAGCTGTCAGACAAATGAAGTGTAAAGTGTGATGAAAAGAAAAGACGGTAAAGAACAAGTACCTCCAATTGCTCTGGGGTTATACAACATAGTCCAGGTCTGAGCTCTGTCTGGTCAAGGTGAAGCTCAGTAAAGTCTCCGTACTTTGGTAGATTTTGGTGTTCAGACACATTTTAAAGGATTTCAGCTTTAACTCTGTAGTCCATTAAAGTGATAAGAGTTCAGATTCTCAGAGAGTTTGATTCATTCAATCATGTGTTCATCAGTGAGAGCATTTGTCTTCCACTAATCATTTTCTCTGAAGTGAATTAAGTCAAAGCAGCAGGTCAGCAGATAATCAATTTAATGACTTTGTGTGTGTGTGTGTGTGTGTGTGTGTGGGGGGGGGGTTCTCTCTCCCTTATAAACATGTCTACCTGTGTTAATCTGCTCTTTCGCCCTCTGACCTGCTTTGTCGCTTTTTATCTCTGCAGTGAAGACTTTGTTGATCAATAATATTTGTCACTCTCCATCAGGACACGGTGTCAGGCTGCAGTGTTCACGGTGCTCTGCTTTCATTTTTCCAGTGTGAAACCTTCAGGGTGAACAACCTGGATGGTGAACAGGGCAGTGTTTCTCCTTAGTGGATCAAAACCTTTAAAGACTCTAGTCAGGAGCTGAATTACCCATCAGCCCCCAGAGGGTCACCAGAGATTGCCGGCAGCAGGTTGTTTCTCGTCCCAGCTTCATCGGACCTGATTGTGGCTCTGGTCCAGGTCCTGGATTTCCACTTTCATCTTCTTCATTCAAGTCTCGTTCAGGTAGAGAAGGTTTTTTCAGCTCTATCATTTGGAATAAGATATGACGCTGATTTCATTTGGTCCTGTGAAGTTCAGATTTTGTTGGATTTTAATTACAAGCATAAAAATGTGTATATGAGTATATATGTGTAAAAACCGTGCCGAAACATTCAGACCGTTTATACCACTTATTTATACATTTTTATAAATTTTTTATATTGCATTTTATATTGCTTTTTTGATATTCAATTCAATTCAATTAAATTTTATTTGTATAGCGCCAATTCATAACAGAAGTTATCTCAGGACACTTTTCAAATAGAGCAGGTCTAGACCGTACTCTTTTTAACATTTATAGATATGTCTAGGTTGTTCTCTTAACTTCATTGTGTTGTTGCTGTGTGTAATGCTGCTGCTACACTGCAGTTTCCCAGCTTGGGATCAATAAAGTATATCTATCTATCTATCTATCTATCTATCTATCTATCTATCTATCTATCTATCTATCTATCTATCTATCTATCTATCTATCTATCTATCTATCTATCTATCTATCTATCTAACAGATAAAAAGTGACAAATGTTGAAATGTTTCAGTGTTACAGTAGTGTTTTTCTGCAGTTTTTAGGGGGGAAGTAATCAACTGTGAAGTACGCATCACATTATGTGAGTTATCTGTCTTTTAAAAATGATGTTTTCAGCATGTGATGCCTTGGTCAGATAGCAGCAGTAGAGCGATGACAGGAAATGCTGATGAGACATTCAAACACTTCCATTTTAACAAATACAGTCTGTCAGCAGGGTGCAGGTCCATTCATATTTCAGAGCTGACACATTTCATTATCAGGTTGTCTTTGTCCAAAATAATGACAAAAGACCCAAAACTAGGGATGTGGATTTCATCATTATTTCATCAGCTGATACAATAACTGACAATAATGTGCTTCTTATGGCAGATTATTATGGCAGAAAATGGATAATTTCACATGTTGGTATTTCGAAAAGAAGTTAATAACCTGTAATTTATAAACACCTGATGGTAAGAAAGGCTGATATGTAGTGAGCAAAGATGGATGCTTTATTATTCGTCCCAAGAGGGCAATTTGTGCTATAACAAGCATACACACACATAACAAAACACATATATACAATTAAACTCCTCTGGAGCAGACTTTGTGTCCACTAAAACCCTGCAGGGCCTATGAAAAGTACAGTGAACATCAACATCACCGGGCAACAGAACCATTCACAATGTGATATATATTACCAACAGTGACTCATTTCATCATTCTGGAAATCAGCATCACCACAAGATCACAAGATACAGGGTGCAACTACTGAACAACTACTGAAAACAGTGACATTTAAAACAGGAGGTCTTTAAAATATTGACAATATGCTATTTTTGCCATACATTACTATTTTTCTGTATCTTCATCATCATGGATCATGCATAAATGTAGCCTAATATTGATGTATGATTCATGAATGAGGGTGATTGATTTACTTTGATAAAAATGATTGCCATCACCATCAAAGTGTGGTTGTGCAATATCCTAAACTTCACTCACTTTAAGTCAGAGTTCAGAAACTGTCTTTGTCCCACTGTCACCATTATTTCTTAAAAAAAGTGAGCTCCCTGAAAGCCAAGGTATGGTTCACACACAGCATATGTAACACTACATAAATATAAACTGTAGTTAAAGTTATTTTAAACACAACATTTTGAAACTGATTACATCAAAGATTTTAAGGAAAACTAACTAACTTTTCCGTTAAAAACATTCTTAATTAGGCAGCCTAACCCTAAATTTTAAGTGACACCATCAGTTTTGTAAGTTAAAAATATGTAAGTTGTGCTGTGTATGGCAGCTCCAGTATGATTAAGACTGTGATTACGGCAAATAAACTACGACTACGGTATGGTTAGGGCCAGGCAGCTACATTAAAACACTTTGAGGTACTTGTATTTCTTCTATTTACTTCTACCCACTACATCCCAGACACAAATAGTTTTACTCCACTACATTTATCTGACAGCTGTAGTTACCTTGCTTACCTTAAGATCAGACTTTACTGATCCCCAGGGATCCACATTTACCAGCTGGAACATTAAAGTGATAGACACATAACAAAATCAGCAACAGCAAATCAGCCATCTTACATACGTTTGCTACTTTAAGCATATTCTGATGCTAATACTTTTGTAATTTTGAAGTAAAATGTAGAACTTTCACTTGTAACAGAGTATTTCTGCACGGTATTGCTCTTTTTACTAAAGTAAAAGGTCTGAGCATTTCTTTGGAAACTTCTGGGTCTTCAGTAAAACTTCAAATAAAGTGGGTTCAAACAAAGCTCAGATGCATAAGATGACTAAAAATGAAATGAAATGACTACATTATGTCCAGATGCAGGATGTGAAGGACACATCATCAGAAAAAATTAGTAATATATTATATAAAACATAAATGATTCTGTCCTTAAAGCATCAGGAAATGTCTTAAAATTGTTCATAATGACACACTGAATTCATGTCATGAATCAGTCTGAGTTTTTGGTATACAAACATAATAACAACAAACAAAGTATTTATAATATAAAGGTTCAAAAAGTATTTTCTGCAGAAACCTTCTGCATTAAAAAAATGAAGTAAATTTAATTAAACTTTCAAACATTTAAATTAAATGTGTGCTTTCACATAACTCACGTTTATCAATTGTAGCAGCTTTACGAGCTCCTTTTATGTTTGACGCGCTCATTACTTTGCTCATTTCTGAGGTGAGAAGCTCTCCGAAGCCCCTCAGGGTTTAATTCTATCCACCTACACAGTCTGCTTCATTACACCGCCTCTTCCCTTTAATATTCACTCATCATACAAATATTAGATAAAAGCTTTTCTTCCTCCAGTGCGCTCAGTTTAAGTGTAAACAGACGGTGGATTCATTCTTTTATTGTTTTCAGATCCTTTTAATCTTGGTGTCTGACATAATGCAATATAATTTTTATGTTGTTTGAAGTGAAAGTGAATCCAGTCCTGCAGTCTCGATGAGGGTGGATGTATCTGTACTGAAGTCTGTCGGTTCGATTTCAGAAGTTGTGGGGGACATTCTTAAAGCCGTTCAACAATACACATGAAACAACCATATAAATCGTAGCCAGTTATAGCATCATTATGTGTAACACCAGGGGCAGAGACGTTTAGCCCAAACCTAGGGAGGTCTGGGGGCTTGCTTGCTTCCTATTTATGGCAGCTTATGCACTATTTTTCAGTTGGGCTAATAGATTGCCTACAAATCTGTACTGAATTTGGGAAAAACATGAAAAATTGCCCAGGAAATAAATCCTTGTGTAGCACCTACATTCTGTTTTGTATCTAATTGTTCTCCAACTGTCTTTATAATTCTGGAACCAGAACACAAACATGTTGAAGACCATTTTCTCTCCTGTGACCTAAACAGAGGCAAAAATAGTCGGATGTCGTTAGGTAGGGTAGGAATTTAAAATGACTAATCTTGAAACCTATGTTTAGTTCAACTATGCTGGAGTAGAGTTCACAGAATGAATGTTTAGCTTCGTTATGTCCTTCATTAAGTCCATAGTACATACCATAGCTAACTAGCTAGCTAGCTCACTGAGATGATACGACCGAATGAAAGACGACACACACTCCCACACACAGCTACCCCCCATGAGAGTGTAAGGGCGGACCTGTTGATGGTGATATTTCCCCAGTAAGTAGTTCCTCAGTGAGACTGAGGGAAAAATTAAAACTTATTTTAAAAACCTAAAAGATTCAGGGCTTTTGAGAAAACCTTCGGGCCTGGAGCCTACGCAGCCACCCAACTGCTCCCCCCTTGCATAACACCACAGAAACCATTCATCACTTTAAGGAGTCGGCCAAGGATTCATCTTGGCCCTCCTGTAACACTCCTGTGCTCACACTGGACAAAAAGCATCATGCAGCAGAGTCAGACACATCGTCTTTTTTTATTCCACACATTCCTCCTCCCTATCAAACCTGGCTCCTACGTTACCCACAATGCAACTGTAGCCTGGAGCCTCTAGCAGCAGAGGTCTGGTAAGCTCACTTATTTCTAACTGCACACCAACAAATCTTTATCATATAGAAAACTGACACTGACACTGACTTAAGTCTGTACATATAAACAGCTCATTCTACGGTAACAAAAACATAACTGTTCTTATATTCAGCTGATTAATGAAAACATAACTATAAATATTATATTGCATTTCTGACAATATGGCAGGTAGTGAAGGTTTGAGCTGGATTGAGAATGGACCTTTTCTACTCTGCAAAGGTACTCAGGAGGCTGCTTTCTGTAACAAATAACTTTATTACAGAATATTTAAGTGAAATGACACCAATATATTTCCACAAGCAATTTTTCTGCATCATATACCGGACGGATCGGCGCATATCGGACAACATATATGTCGATACCGATGTGTCTGCCATAGGCCAATATCGGCTGACTGATGGTCAGCCTCTAGTTAACGCTGATTCTTATGATCCTGTTGTTTATTGTTCTCATTCGGTTCCCTCTGTTTGTTTTTAGGTCAATGAACATGTTGAACAGGGTCCTTCCATCCTATAGGTTGAAATCTGGTTTTCCACTAGAGAGATAGTATAGAGTAGTAATAGAGTTTACTGATGGGTTTGAGGGTTGCACTTTAAGCTTCAGACAATGCTTGTATGGCCTTTGGTTTGGGTACTTGTGATGTGTATCTGTTATTGTGTTGTGCATTATTAATATGTACATCAAAGTAAATATACTCATATGCACAATGACCCATTTCAGAATAAAATATATTATATTTGGCAACTGGATTATAATCATTGATGCCTTAATGTGTTCACCACTTTAATGTTTAATTACTTTATATACTGCTGGGTATAATGTGACATTATAATTAATTAGTTGATTATATTTAGTATTACAAATGAAAATCTGCAAAGTGACTAAAACTGTCAAATAAATGTAGTGAAGTAAAAAGTACAATTTGTGCAAGTACTTTAATAATGCAATTGAGTAAATGTACTTCAATTCAATTCAATTCAACTGGCTTTATTGGCATGACGTAACACTGGACATATTGCCAAAGCAAGCGTTTGGAATTAAAAATAATAATAATAACAACAATAAAGGAAAACAATATTTACAACAAATTAATAATAATCTAGTTGGTAATACTGTAACTATGATTGACTCAATCACAATCACAGTCAATCAATCAATCTCAGTCAATTAGTAATTAATTACAATCAATTAAAACAGTTAAAACAAGTAGTCTGTTGTCAATATAACAGTAAGTAACTTAGTTACTTTCCAAATTCTTTTTCTTTTTTACATTTTTATCACCTTTATTCCACCTGCTGCACTTCCTGTCACCTGTCAGTCATCATATGTCTCTCTCCTCTATAGAGCGCGTGAGGAGGAGCGAGGAAGAGGAGGAGGATGGACGGCGGGAAAACCGCGCTGCAGCAGTCCGCGCGGCAGAGCATCCTCTCGTGCAGCGAGCCGAACTGCACGGCGCGCGCCGTGGACATCCTGGCGCTGTCAGCGGCATCCGTGTGGAGCGGTAACGGCACGGCGGTGGACGAGTACCGGCCCGTGGAGGCTGCTGCCTCGGCCGCCCCAACGGTGAGTAACTTTAGTTTTTTGTTTCTGTGCTCCGTTCCAAAGGTCTGCTCACTTTTGTTTACAGTTTGTAACCGAACTCCGTAGAAAACACTTGCAATTTAATATTAACGTGCTTATTGGCAAAAAATGATGAATGTAAAACGCAATTTAATACATACAAGCCACGAGAGAAGTGTTTCGTATATTTGGAATTCATTTACTTCACCAAGCAGTAAAGCACTTAGTGAATGTGTCTCTTTTTAGAGTTGTTTTGCCCATTTCCCCAATATAGTTCTTTCTGTGAAGCACACTAGATGGGGCAGCAACCGTCGTAATTCAGTTATTCCAGTTAAAGTTTTTAAACACAAAAACGTGTCTATGGTAATTTAAGGTTTGCCGAATTGAGCAATCAGTCTTCCTGGTGTGAAAACAATCGGACTTAGTATTGTATAGGATGCCTACTATTACCAGAGAGCAAATTAATATTTAATACGCATTTCTTTCTACAGAGTTTGGTTCTCTCTCCAAAACGTTTATTTCAGCTTCTTAACAGTTTTGCCACTGGGCCAAGCTATACATCTCATACTGTTCACAGTGTCATCAAACTAGGCAATAGGCTACCTATTGAGCCGATGAAATTAAACATGAAATAATACTGAAGTGTAGAAACAGTTTGGATATGATTATGTTCTGATTTAAGCCTATGGTGGTATTTGAAAACATGAAAAAATACCATTAACCATTCAAAATATTTATCAAGGTAGCTTTGATTTGTGAACTGTGAGGGAGTTTATAACTCAGCTTATTGGGCTGTCAAGTAAATTCTAAGGCGTCTTTGCAAGGCTTTAATTGGTTAGTGTTATAAATACCGTTGGTGCTCAAATCCTCCCTTGATTTCTGCCAACCACACAAATGTTAGTTTATGGAATTAAATGGAACTGCATTTTATGTAATTATCTGACACAGAGAATAGGACAGATGGAGGGAGAGACATAAGAGAGAGAGAGAGTTACAGAGGGATGTGCTGACAGCACAATGTGTCTCTTGGATTCATCAGCAGGAAATGCATGAATGCAACTTTCCTCCTCTGGGGGCTTTGGGGGGCTTGATTCATGCTGTTTGTGTGTCTGTAAAATTACACAAGCTGCTTGGGCAACATGTAAACACTCACATTTACGTGCGGCTATGGCTTAGAGGCAGAGCGGGTCATCCACTAATCGGAAGGTTGTTATTCGATCCCCGGCTCTTCCCGCCACATGTTGAAGTATCCTTGAGCAAGATACTGAACCCCAAATTGCTCCTGATGCTGTGCATCGGTGTGTGAATGTGTGTGAATGTTAGTTTCTGTTCGATGGGCTTTGCTATCACTGAGTGAATGTGTATGAAAGGGTGAATGTGACACGTAGTGTAAAAGCGCTTTGAGTGGTCGGAAGACTAGAAAGGCGCTATACAAGTACAGGTCCATTTACCATTTACATATGATTTTACAATCGGCTGCACAAGAAAAAATAAATGTGTGTCTGAAGCTCCATCAGTCTGGTTTGAACACACACGCATACATACATGCACAGGAGTCAGTGTACAAATGTTCCTGCGTTATCTCACCAACACCTCGCAGCTGCACACACGTCACGCTTCACGCCTGAAAGGTCAACTTGATATTCTCCTCCGGTGGTGAGGTTACTGCACACACCTGCAGGATGTCCAGGTGATCGGTGGAGGACTGATAATGGAGCCGTCTGCACATTTCCTGCCTTCCCGAGTGAGGATCATGTTGTATGTCCTCTATTGATTGTGTATTTGCTGGCTGCTGTATGTTGTTGAACAAACACACATTGACATATTCAGAACATCCATCCATGCATTTGCAAATGTTGTATTGATTAAACACTGGTGCATGTGTTGTTTTATAAAGCTGTCCGTGCTGCCAACTCTGCTTCGCCCTCATGCCAACTTTCCACTGACTGTTTGGACCACTCAGGTTTTAAAATGACATGCACAGAAACCACCATCCGTCTGATTTTATGCAGCTACTTAGACACAGGATATCGGTCCAGGTTGAGAGTGTGGTGTTGTGACAATTAGAGGGAAAGTGTCACAGGTTTTTAAATGCACAATGAATGTGTTTGATTCACTTTAATTAATAATAAAGCTTTATTAATAAATTGTAAAGTGTAGCTTGAGGAGAAGAATAGCTTGCAGTAAAGGTTACTAAGGTCTGGACCTGGAGTGGTCAGAGTGATGTGCTGTGTTGATATTCTGCTGCTTGGTACTAGCTCAGCAGACTGGCAGATGGAGGGAGTCACTGTCCTCTCTATCTCTTGCTGGAGCTCCTCTTTCTGCTCACCCTCTCTGTTCATTCCATCTAACCATACAGATAGTCTTGGTTTTATTTGTTAAGCTTTGAAATGTCTGTCTGAGTTTTCTGTCCCCACCCAATTGACCCTGTCTAAGTCCCGCCCCTTTTTGCTCAGTGCTCCAATAGCCTCGGTCAGAAACCCTGGTCAATTTCTTCCTTTCTTGTTCTTAGATATGCTATGTGCTAGGCTCTTTATGTTGGAAAGACAATCACATGTTGAAGATGGTTAAAACGTAGCTATGTTGCTACTGAGCAAACACTAGGTAGCATAACTAGCTTGCTAATCTACATAAATTGTTAGCTAATGTTAGCCAATAGTACATCAATCGTTGGTTGGCCAGTTAGCTAATGTGTTGCTAACATTGTGCATTTTGCACAGCAGGTACACATTTTGACATTAAAGGAAGAGACAGCAGTGACCTGCTGGCCGAAAAGCAATAAAGAAGAGTTTGACCAATCATTCCCCTAACCAGAATATCAAACAGGGAAGATCGTGATTGACAAGAGTAATGTAATTTCAAGAGAGGACAGAGACAAAGATGCACAGCAACATAATAGCAACAACTATATTAGTAGAAATGGCTGATGAAGATCACGATGATGATGATATTAATTGTTATCACAGTCAGCTGGCGTAAGTAGTGTGACGGTCCCCTGCGTGGCTCTAATGTTTCCTCTTCCTTTTAAGGCAGCAGGTACTTGTGGGTCGGACCAATCGGCATAGCCGGAAGCACCTGGTCCCGGTGTTTCCCAGCTATAAAAGCCCCGCCTCTCTGGCTGACGGGGGCTCTCTTTCTATCTTATTATCATTGCTGGTATTCCGAGTAGTTGTGTTTTAACATCCAACATTTACTTTTCATTATACATCACGCTCATGCATACACACACTTTCACTACTGATGTTACTGACAAACACACCTCATCTTCTATTTAGTTCTTTTTCGGGTAGCATTTAGGTTGTTATGTTTAAATAAATTACTTATAATTTGTCCTTTCAACTGCGTCTCCTCGTTTTGTCACGGCTTCAGAGCCAGGTCGGGACAAAGTGGGGGCTCGTTTCGGTAGTCTGTTTGTTGGTCCGTTTTGCGCTGAAGGGTAGGTAGTTTTGGTATGGTTAAATTGTTGTGCAATTGTTTGTTCCATCGTATATTTAGGCCTACTAGTTTGAGCTTCGCGCCTTGTGACACGGTCCAAATTTGTGAATGGCGTGGTCGTCATAGTTGACGTCACTAGTCTTTGTGAGGATTTCCCTGGGGATTCCCTATAGCGCAGTCCCGCGTGCGTAATTTCATTGTATTCAAAAGCGGGAAATCAGCGTTTTTGTTTGTGAGATGCAGTTGTTTGGAATTGGGGTTGCATTTAGGTTGTTATGTTTAAATAAATTACTTATAATTTGTCCTTTCAACTGCGTCTCCTCGTTTTTGTCACGGCTTCAGAGCCAGGTCGTGACAGTAGAGATGGATGATCTTTGTGTGAAGCAGAGCAGTTAGTGTTCACTTTACTGTCCTTGTTCAGCTGCAAAAGGCAACCAGTTCACATTCAGAGCCAGCTGTTGATACCCAACTGTAGGAAACCTGTGTATGTGTGTGAGACTTTATTTAAATGAGGAGGTGGAGATGCCTGCAGCGGGTTAATGGATATGAACACATGACATGTATGTCGACAGACAAACCATTTCCTGTAAGCACCAGTCAGAAATGTAGGTTGATGTGACACATTGTCACACTGAAACTGTGTGTCGATGGCATTTGATGACATTTCAGTCCTGTCTTTACTTATTCTACTCAACATATTGAAAGGATGACTACATTTATGACAGTGACATAATTAATTAACATTCTGATGTATTTTTAAGCTGATATATCAGTGACATCTTGCCAGGCGTCATCCATGCCCTTGTGTCCAACCACAGTGGTTTGGATTAATCATCGTCCTATAAAGACATGTGTGAGAAGTGACCCTAACCCTGTTTGCTTGAAAACAACAATGGTGGCTGCTTAAAGAGGTTAGAACTGCAGAGTATTTCTTCATTGAAAGAAGACCAAAGAACGACACTGAAGGTTTTTCTCCATGGAAAAGATGTTTCCTCTGTTCTCCCGACTGGCTTCAGTAAGAGTTTGATGCGTTATATGGTTTGTTGATCTGATTGGTTGAAGTTCATCCATGATAGATGGTGATAGACAGACGGTTCATCCAATCACCTGTCAAGTCTTTCTTGAAAGTGCCTGCCCTTTTAAAAACTGAACAACGATTTTCCAGATGGTCCTGTGTAACAATAACTATCTAGATACTGTCTCGTCTTAAAGGAGACATATTGTGCCCCTTTTCAGGTTCATAATTGTATTTTGTGGCTCTACTACAATAGGTTTAGTTGCTTTAATGTTCAAAAAACACATTTCTCATACTGCCTATAGCTGAACATCTCTTTTCAGCCTCTGAAACGCTCCGTTTGAGCTCCGGCCCTCCCACTTCCGCCTCAGCGTTGCCGGTGTTTTGGCAGGCAGTTTCTTACTGTTACTGAGTTTAGCTGCATTTCTAATGTGAATATTAATTAAATAAACCAAAAACTTCACCACCGGACATGTTAGAGCGGGAGTCTGACCTGAAATCACAGAAAGGAACAACATCAACAATCAGGATTACAGCTTTCTGTGATGTTTTC